TGGATAGAACCTCAGCCTGCAGACTGAAGGGTCCCTGGTTTAATTCTGGTCAAGGGCACATGCCTGGGTTGCAGGCTTGATCCTCCAAAGGGGGCATGCAGGAGGTAGCTGATCAATGATTCTCTCTCATCATTGCTGTTTCTACCTCTCTCTCCCTCTCCCTTCCTCTCTAAAATCAATAAAAATATATTTAAAAGTAGAAGATATATACATACAATGGAATATTACTTATCCATAAAAAAGGGTAAAAAGCTGCCATTTGTGACAACTTTTTCTGAGAATATCTAGCTAAGTGAAATGTCAGATGGAAAAGGACAGGAACCATATGATTTCACCCATATCCTATATAATAAAGAGGTAATATGCAAATTGACCATCATGCCCTCTCACAAGATGGTTGCCCCCATGTGGTCAAAGATGGCCGTCCCCATGTGTAACAAGATGGCTGGCAGGGGAGGGCAATTGTGGGCGGGGGGACCAGGCCAGCAGGGGAAGGCAGTTGGGGGGGACCAGGCCTACAGGGGAGGACAGTTGTGGGTGATCAGACCTGCAGGGGAGGGCAGTTGGGGGGGGACCAGGCCTGCAGGGGAAGGCAGTTGGGGGGGACCAGGCAGACAGGGGAGGGCAGTTGGGGTGATCAGGCCGGCAGGGGAGTGGTTAGGGGGCGATCAGGCTGGAAGGCAGAAGTGGTTAGGGGCAATCAGGCAGGCAGGCGAGCGGTTGGGAGCCAGCAGTCCTGGATTGTGAGAGGGATGTCTGACTGCCGGTTTTAGACATCCTCTGAGGGGTCCCAGATTGGAGAGGGTGCAGGCTGGGCTGAGGGACACCCCCGCCCAGTGCACAAATTTTGTGCACCGGGCCTCTAGTGTGGGATATAAAACAGAAAACAACAAATGAATAAACAAAACAAACTCAAAAACACAGACAACAGAAAGGTGGTTACCAGAGGGGCAGGGGTTAGGGAGAGGATGAAGAGGGTAAAGGGAGTCAAATATATTGGTGATGAAGGGAGACTAGACTTTGGATGGCAATCACACAATACAATATATAGATGACATATTATAGAACTGTACACATAAAACTTACATAATGTTATTAACCGTTATTAACCAATGCCACCTCAATAAATTTAATTTTTAAAACTATCTTTGAATACCTATTAAGAAAGAAATTGTACCTATTCTGTGTAGTTGCAAACAACTAAACTATAAACAAAGGTAGAATTTTAAGAAGAGAGATGTCACAGTTGAATAAGAACAGTACCAAAATGAATAAGGCTGCTTTTGAGGCTTCATTTACTGAAATTTCTAGAACAGAAACAGCATGATTACTGGACAGAGATTTTGTGCAGAGAGTTCCTGATAGGGTAAGAAGTTGGGCTCAAGGATCCCTAACATCCCTTCTGATGCTGAATATCCTATGATCCATTAGGAGCCTCACACAGTGGACCAAGTTATAATAGAGTGATACCTTTACAGCCTTTTGTACTTTGCCTCTGCACTAAAAGGCCTCAGACTGCTGTGGGGTTTTGTTTTTGTTTTTATTTTTTTTTTGTCCTTATGACTATTTTTTATAGTTCTCCCATTCTCCTTAATACCAGGTTATTTCAACTCATTCCTTGTTTTAATGACATCCCACTCCATTCTAATTTGTTATTTCTAACTAGAGGCCCGGTGCACGAATTCATGCACAAGTGGGGTCCCTTGGCCTGGCTGGCGATCGGGTCGATTGGGGCCGCAGGAGGTTGACCAGTGGGGGGAGGGCAGTGGGAGGTTGGCCAGCTGAGGGTAGGGGCCAAGGGGAGGGTCTGGGGGAGGTTGGCTAGCTACGGGAGGTTGGCTGTGGGAGCACACTGACCACCAGGGGGCAGCTCCTGCATTGAGCATCTGCCTCCTGGTGGTCAGTGTGCATCATAGTGACTGGTTGACTGGTCATTCCAGTTGTTCCAGTTGTTTGGTTGTAACAGTCACTTTTGCTTTTATATATATAGATATGTTGTGGCCTAGGAAAACAGCATAACCAAACTTATTAACATTGTAAGAATAATTTAAGTGAAGTCCTAAAGACCTCTCCCATGAATAAGAGTTTTGCTACATCAACATTTTACCATCTATTTTAGTTCTTAAAGGCCCTTTTAGCTTTCTTCCAAGTTCTCAGGAGTATTCTAGGTTAATTTGATAATTATGCAACATTCTAGAAACTTGATATTGAACTTCCATAGGTATGCTAAGCTTCCTACTAATTCATAAATTACTGAAATTTTCAAAAACACAACAATAGGCATTGATATACTTATCACTGAGTAAGGTTTTCCTTATGTAGGTAAAACTTTCCTAGATAGCTCTTTCAAAATTAAAAGAAAATTTATCTAAGTTAGAATTAAATTTGAATTTAGAACTAAATTAGACTACCTAACCAAATAAAATTAATTAGAAATTGATTAGAATGCTAATCACTTACATATAATGTTTTATATATAAAGTATTGTTGTAAAGGTACAGATTAGTTTAGAATATGGAGCATCATTCTGATTTCACTGTTTTTTTCTTAATCCCTGTTCTTAGCCTTCAGCAATAATTTTAATATAATGCAGTCAAAAACATTTAATGAAAACTTATTATATACCCAGCAGGTGTTCTCCATTAATAACAATGAAGAATATAAGAAAAACAATGTTTTGTTTAGACTAAGTATAAAAGACTGGCTTACTATTAAGGAACTTACTGTCTTGTTAAAGGAAATAAGAACCAGTTATAGTGTTATCAGGTGGCATACACAGGGGTGGGCAAATGTAGGTTTGCAGTTGTGATTACATCAAACAGGTTATTCTTGTATTATTATTATTGTATTATTTATTTGTATTATTTGTCTTCTTATTTCATACCCTTAATCATAACTTGCATGTCTTTTTCCATATGAATAACTGTAAACCTACTTTTGCCCACCCTTGTATTATTAAGGCAGGATTGATGCAGATAGTAAGTGCTTTTGAAACTTGCAGTGAGAGGTAGAGTGGTTTTGCTTTAATATACTACTATATATTATTAATTTACAAATTATTAAGTGTGCACTTTCTTTTTTAAAAAAATTTGCTTTGGATATTAGGTAATATTGGTGCTAAGAGCTTTTGACTGTAATAATTTCCTATCATTTATTTGGTAAAAAGAATAATTTGGAGAGGTGTTTTAGTAGCTTCATTGGGAGCATATTTATAAAAGATGAAGAAAGCCCCAACATTGCCAATATTTGAAAACTCAAAGGTTTTATGTTCTAAAGTGTTATATGAATTGCTGTCTCATACTGTTTGCCACTTTCCAGGGTTGTCCATAAGATTATATTAAAATCTCCCAAATGGGTGATGCTGATCTCACCCCAGATCCTCCTGGGAGGTATCTTCTCATATAGTCCCGGCTGAGTCATAAATAATATCTACATGTGCCCCAAAGCTCTGAATTGTCCTCATCAGTAACACACAGAACTGAATGGTATCTGTAAAGTAGTTAATTCTCTGGAAAATATTCAAAGGCACAAAATGAACACTGCAATAAAATTGCTTTCTACTTAACTTTGTCAATTTCCCCAGAAGTGTACGGTACACAGAACAACGTTTTCATAGAACTTGCAAAAGTCGTAGACTCAAGTGCTATTTATTTTCCTCCCATAAACAGCAGCCTTGAGCAATTCTATCCACAATTAGTTACTTGTGGTTGCTACTAAAATGTTCCCCATAACATTCCACATCGTTATTGTTTCATAGCACAACGCACTCTATAGAGTGAAAGTGCTTGGAAGGACCAAGGACCGCTCTTTGTCATGCCCCTGTCTCTAGACAACGAAGTTCTTGAACGGCCCAGAGGTAGTCCTGTGACCCTTTTATTTTAAGTACCTTCAGTTTGAATTAGGGAATACCTTTTACATCAAAATGGATACACCTAGCATAAGTAAGTTTGATTGTTCCAGCCGAGACGTTCCTCCCGCCCCCAAAAGGCGGCAGAGAGGCAGGGAACGCCACTTAGCAGTTCGTGCGTGCGCTCTTCGGACGCCCGTGCCCTGGCTGGGCTGGGGGGCGGGGGGTGGGGGGCCCGGGTGGGGGGGGGGGTCCTTTCCCGGGTCCTCAGACTCCCAGAGAAGGGGCGGCGGGGATGCGGGAAGAGAGGGAGGGCTTGTTTTGCCTGGGGATGTGGGAAGTAGGCGCTAGCCTGTTTCGCGGTTTTTTAAGCCCCTTGGCATGCCCTGACCTGATCAAGAGAGTCAACTGCTCTCTGGAATGTTCCGGGAGAAGGTGGGAGATTGCTTCCCAGAGGAGGCCTGTGGGTGCTGGAGGGCATCAGGGGGGTCACGCAGGGAGATGAAGGGCAAGCGCCGGGAGGGACACGAGGGAAGCGGGGGGCCGAGATGAGGAGCGCGCGTGGGGGCTGAGGCGGGCGGGACAAGCTGGCAGCGAGGCAAGGAGGGTGGCTGGTTGCACGAAGGGATCCCTCCCGGGGCAGACGGCGGTGGCGACCGGGCCGCGCGGGCTGCACCACCCGGCTGTCAAGCGAGCGCGGGGGGGGGGGGGGGGGGGAGAC